GTAAATTCCAGAGAACAACATTTCATCATGTGCTTTCCTTATCATCCTATGATTTGTCAAATGTGAATAACATGGTACTGAAATTGACACCTTTGACTAGGATTGGCTAAAAGTTTTACAATTTAGGTTTAACATGCCCAGACACAGTTTTATAAAGAAAACAGACTAGAAAAAAGGTTTAGATACCAACCTATGAGGATCTACCTCATAGCTTGTTATAGTTTTCATGCTATGACTTTTAATACAGTAAGCCTACCTTCTTGAAATTTTCCAGATTATCAGTAAACTTTATAAGTCTTTCATACCCAAAAATATCAGATTTTGTTTATTAAGTTTTAAGATTTTTTAAGCAGTATTTTTCTTGAGCATTTTTTCTTTTCAAATATTGACTATCCAACATGCAAAGTAATTTTGATTTTAAAATTCAAAATACTTTTGTACATCAGAAAATTTTCAAATTTCACATGCAAAATCTTTATAACATCCAGATAATTATCAAACATTTTTTTAGAAAAAACAATATTCTATCTGTTATTTTGACTACGCATCTCTATATGGGTTTGGTCGATTTGACCGACCTCATAACCACCACATAAAATTAGGAAATAGATATAAATTATGCATTTTTCCTTCTAGAATGACTACAAATTAAAACACAAAAACACAAATGTTTAGTCTAAATAGCTTAAATCTCATAACATTATACATATATATATATATATATATATATTTATTTATTTATTTTATTGACCTTTCAGCCAAGCCTGATTAACATTACAGAAGTTGCAACGATTTGGCGCACATGCACTCACATTATCTTATCCACGACTATGAAACTGGCCTTTAAAATGTGACCTGTCTTGGCTGTGTTCTAGTGGACCAGTATTTTCTAAATACAGTCACATTTCAATTATAATACATTATATATGTTTATACATTATTACTATTTACAAATAAGTTCTTAAATTTCATTTATTTTTCTTAAAACATAGAACAGTAAATGAAGTATAACAAACAGTTATCTCTTCTAGTTATGAACTTTGTACTCGTTTGTTGCTTGCCATAAGTTTCTAAGCCTCATCAAATCTCTGATAGGTTGTTTAGGCAGAGTATTCATAATGAATCTAAGTTTCAAATTGACAGTATTTGCCTGTAATAGAAACCTACGTATGTATAGGATGACGTATCGAAAGATTCAAGCCTTATCAAATTTTGTATATATGCATTTTGAAATAACACAAAATCATAAATTAGTATATAAATACAACAGAATTCCACTACAATTTATCAAGTTCAGTAACTATGCTGTATATGAGTATAAAAAAATATGTCTTACTTTACCACTTGGAATCTAGCATGAAAAGAGTTTCCTGTGCAAGTAGTTCACAGAGGCTGAGAAAACAACCATGGGGACATTCTTAGCTTTCGATTGGTTATACACACACATCATTGGGCAAAGTAGGTGTACATAAGGAAGAGGAAGTCTTTTCAAAAATGGAAGAGGTGGGCAGAGCCACCTTGGTTGATTCAATAAATATTAATATCTCAGAAAATGTTCTTATTTTACATTCCAGCTTGTAAGTTTTGGTAATATGAGTATCTTATTCATAAGAAACTATAGACTTTGTATTTGTACATCAAAAGCATCTAATTTGAACCAGTGCTGCATTCAACATACCATGTAACACACAACAAAAATCAATATTTAGGATTATTTTTTTAATTTACTTTTAAGTTAAGAAATTAACTAATGTATAATACTAAAATCTGAACTATAATCAAGAATTCGATACCAAACTTAGTGACATCTGTTCATAAAATAGAAGTTCAATAAAATTTTAAATGCAAGTCTCCAAATATGATGACATGGCCTTTGACTTGTGACAGTATAAAGATGCATGTCGGTAGGGTTAACATGCTCTCTTCCACTTGCAGAAAGTAAACATGTAGTGTACACTGTAAAAAAATTCTCACTGACACTGAAGTGCTCCCCACCTCCTTTCTTTGAGGTTATCAAATTTATCTCCGAAACCCTCGAAAATCTCACTGGGGGACCATATTGAAAACCCTAGGCATATCCATATCATAACTTTTAATGTGGCATGTTATCTTCATGAAATTTTGCAAACTTTAAGTAAACATTACAAGACTTTTATACAAAAAAAAAATCTGATGTTTTTAATTAAGTATTTTTACCAGATTTCTCCATGAATATATGAAGTCAGTGTTGACTAGCCTGAGTTCAAGAGCATTTTTCATGTTAACATTAAAAATACTTTATTTAAAATTTCTAAAACCTCCTAAATGAATGTCAAACATTTTTTTCCAGTAAAACCTTTATATTTTATCTCAACATTCTGACAACGACTAGTGTTGCTGCTGAGGACACCCCAAGAATGCCCATTCATGTGTGTAGTGATAAGTGTGATATGCTAAAAGATGGGAAAGGAAAATAAAACATCAAAAATTAACTTTTTGTGTAAAAGTAAAAACTTACAATTTAGAATTTAACAGAAAAAAATCAAGATTATTCGATGATAAATTAAAAGGTATGTACATTTTTCTATTTTTAATTTTAAATATTTCATTGTACGATAAGTTGATGATAATACTTGAAATATTCAGAATCTGAATACTACTAACTAATATACAAAAATAACAAATCTTTAATTAAAATACATAATTAAAATAATCTCATTCTTGTGTGCAAAATACATAATCTTTAACAAAATCTTACCAATTGTTATGGAGATACATTAAACAAGCTCAGAGTTATATATATATTGTTGCACTGTGTATCATTCCCCATACGAGCTCATTGAATTATGCCCTATCTCTGTAGGATTAACTAGTATGCATATTTTCAGATATTACCAATTACCTTATACATTAAGTTAAAATCTGTCAAAAGAACAGTAGTATTTACACAATTCAGTAAGTTAAAACTTCCTCTTTCTTATTAATGATGTTATAGAAAATGTCACACAGAATTACTGGCAATTTATGAAAGAGAAGATGCGATAGGTGGACGTGACAAGTGAATCTCACTTACTAGTTTATATCTCCATAAACAAATATAGAAGGCTATAAAATGTAGACTATGCTTTAGTAGTATCTACTATGGTGAGTAATATACATTAAACTTAGAACAGCACAGAGGGATGATAAAAAATAAAAATGGGCAAGTAGGGACAAACAAACATCAAAGTGAGATTGAGAATTTATTTAAACATTTTCTTATGATATTAAGAAGTTAATACTTATATAATATTCAAATTTAATTTATTAACTATGTTTTGTACCAAGTTTATTCACTGACAAAGATTCAGTACAAAAAATAGAAATTATGGTTGAATATGATTAAAGATAACATTAGGTAGCATTTTTGTTTAAGAGTTAAGACATAATTAAAAAAATTTTTTGATCATTTGGAATTAAACTCGCAATTTGAAAACAACAGACACAAAAATCCAGATTGATTTCACATGCGGAAACGTTTGCATATATGAAATTACAAATATAACTTAGCAATAAAAAAATTTACCAGTTACAATGACCCTATACTGTGATCTTCGGGCAGGTGGCCCTCTTCCACGCCCTCGGGGTTGAAATCCCCTTCCTGGAGCAGTTCCTCGAGGAAATTCCACCCTCAACCTATATCCATCGTAGTCATATCCATCACGTGCATTTACAGCATCTTCAGCATCTCTATACAAAAGATTACATGATAAATTTTAACAATGTGAAATAAATTCTACACTTACAGGAACACAAAGTTTACATGTGCAGGAACCAAGTAAAGCTTGCCAACTTTCCCAAAGGATAAGTTTATAGCATCTAATTTATAAAAAATATGTTTTGAACTGCCTAAGAAAACTTCACTGTAATTGAATCATAGAAGTGGTGTATTATAGAACAGCAATATGAATGCCACAAGGATGTGACATGGAATCTGGTATGTTCAGAACTGAAACTAATAGAAGTTGCTGTAGAGAATGTCCCACTGATTAATTGTGTTTTTACTGAATCCTATTATTCTGTTACTACAGTATGCACTATCTTCAAAATAATCTCACTAGTATGCTTATTTCAAATGTTACCAATTTCCTTGCACATTACGGTTAAAATCAGTCAGAAAAGTTAATAATTTAAAATATATTTAGTTTTTAAATTAATGAAACAAGTTAAAATTTGGTTTTCTAAGAAGCATTACATTTACATGTGACAAGTTTTCTGTGAAAAAGGAAATTTTATTTATTCAATTAAACCTGGACTGGAATCTAAAAGTAATTTACAAATACAAAAAAGTTTCTTATTTGTACATGAAATTTCCTAACAATTAAAATCAATGCAAAAACTATGTTCCAAAGATAGTGCATGTGTATTTACAGTTTCATTAATTGAAATGTTTTCAACATATGAGCATATTATTAATGTGTTACTTTAAGAAAAATTATAATTGTCTAATGTACAATTGAAATTATGATTTTAACAAATTTTTTAAGTCTGCATGTTATGCAAGAATTTTTAACACGTTTATTTTTAATAACACTTTTCAAGAATTGTTTTAACAGACACACTCATAAAATCTTAAAACTTGTATTGAACCACCACTCAGTCAATGGGTTTTAAACCCATTGCCAGGTTCATGCTACAACAGAGTGGGGTTACACAGAGCTCCTTAGGTCATTCACACAAAGTTCAGATCATAATATGTATAAAAAAAACTAGTTCAATTCCTCAGAAAATGTACATATATACAATAAGTTTTAAAAAATAAATGTCAAAATTTTTTATAAATTTTCATACATATACACACTAAGTTTTAAAAAATATATGTTAAAACATTTTTATACCTTTTCATACATATACAATAAGTTTTAAAAAATATATGTTACATTTTTTTTATACCTTTTCATACATACATGCTTGTACAAAACATGATTTCTAAAATTACATACAAAATTCATTTTTGTCTTCAATAAGAGACACTTTCATAAAGGAAAACAAACCTCTATTTTAATGTTGCTGGTATTATGTTTTACACCAAATTGACACTGGGTAATGGCAGTAATGAATTCACTTAACAGACCTTCCCATTAGAAAAATTGCAAAAGGGATATATAACAGACCCTGCCAGCAGTTAGTGGACTGATGTTGCATCTCTATTCTTTGTTTAGAAAATTGAACAACAAAAGTTAATCTGTATTGAGTGAATTGTACTTTTTCTATCAACAAAACAGTTTCACTGGCTAAACAGAGACATGTTCACAGCGTGCCTCTAAACTATGAGAACCTCCAATCAATACATCAGTCCTTGCAGCCTCAAGTCATGCAGAAAGTAGTTCACAAACTTTCTAAATCTCTTCTTGATAGTCTCAATTAGCTAATATCTAATTTTGTAATTTAAACCTTAAAATACTGATTTAGTTTCTCAGTTACAAATATATGATATCTATATACAACAATATATTTTGAAAGTGTCTTAATACTGTGCACAACATCACTAGTCAAGGTCCATTAAAATTAAAACATTGGAGTCTAGCAACAAACAGAGTCACACGAAGTTACCTGTAAACTTGTATGCATAAAAAACACAACAGTTGATTGTGTGGCCAATGCCATGACAAATAATAACATGATCTACACTCAAAAGTATTTCTTAGCAAGAATAAAATGACCAGTACTAGGTCCAAAACAGTGGGTGTGACAGATATGACAAGGTCTCTAACAATCCCTCACAAAACTCATTTTGCAGGCATTTCTGAGCATCAGTTTGATGGCACCCATCAAAGATGGACTGACTTAATGTAGTTTAATTTTTTTAGAAATGACTATGCTACTACAGCTATTGTATAAAATGTTGGCCTGAGTACAAAATACATTGACAACTCTATAATGTAACAGATCATAGATAATGTTTGTTTGTTAAACTTTTCAGAAAGCTACATAATGGTTATCTGTGCAGCTGTCATTAATTTTCAAGTAACAAGACAAGAAGGAAGACAGCTAGTCAATACAACAACCCCATGGGCTACTCTTTATTAATGAATTATGGGAATTATCATCTCATTATAACACCCCCTTAAATAAGAGGGCAAGCATGTTTGGCAATGGATTTCGATCCCATAAACCAGAAGTTATAAGTCAAGCACCTTAACCACCACTGAAGATACTGTATGATCAAGCAATTATTAAATTCATGTGTAGAGCACACTAGTACAAGACAACAAAGGGTATCTTTGATCTCCATGTACATGATATCTCCATTAAAAGTCAATAAACATGTGTTAGAGGTTTTATGAATGCACACTTTTGTTTTTAAACATACTATTTCTCTGACTTCAAATCACTCCAAGATTCATTTCAAATTAAAAAGGGACTACCAACTTTATTTCTTTTGCTTGTACATATCATGATTTGAGGAACATTGTACTAATCAATTAATTAGGCCATCAACTTATCTGTTAACAAATACCCCCTAATCACCCAGATTTACTCATTTGCCACTGGCTTGTGCCCTATAAAATTGCATTTAGCTTTATAAATCTGACAATGATTATAGCTAATTTTTCTCAGCAGAATTGGGTGTTTTCAGTAAAAAGTCATTAACAATTACTTCCCAATGAGTACATAAATACTAAGAAATATATAAGCATTCTGTTAGCATTATTATTTTTAGTATGTTAAAACAGTGCATTTTGAGCTTTTAGAGAGATAAATAGATTTTTTTAAACCAAATTTTGCAAAATTGGATAACTCATACACTGAAATAAAAAAAACATTACTGTAAGCTCACAAAACTTGTATATACAAGTTTCTATTTCACTAAATACAGAAGTCCTAAATATTTGTAAGTGCACCTTGCTTTATGTTTGTCTTTTTCACTATGTTAGTATATTTCACTGTATATTACCTTCACAAGTTCATTTTCTATGCAACCAGTATTTTTATCTGTAAATCTGTTTGACCTCATATATGAATAGAGATAAGTAAGTACTTTCAAGCAAGAAATTAGCTCTCTCTATGTGGGTTTGGTTGTTTTGATCAATCTTGTAACCACTAGGTGTAACAAAAGAAAATTTGGCAAACATTTTAGTTACCATTACAAACTTGTTCTACACAAAAATCTGATTTTTTAATAAAATGTTTTTACTAGATTTGTCATTGGTCTTACAAAGTCTTTACTAAACAAAAAGTGATATTTATGCCAAGAGTGACAGACCTTTTCATCTTACAGTTTATGTTTCATTTCTATAACCCTAGTCTAGGACCTTATAAATGAATATCTTTTGCTATTTTTTTGTAAAACTTTGTTTTTTTTATTTCTTATTTTCTCACCCCTACCATTAACTGTAGTGAATCCATCAAAATACATTAAAATGAAAATTGGAAAAATATGAAATATAATCCAAAATCTTTTTTCTTAGAATTATTGCAGATCTTAACAGACATTTATAATTACTTACCCTAACAGCTTCAAACTTTTTAACATTTGCTTTTATTTACTTTTCTAATTTGATTGTATTTTGAACCCTCTCTATGAAAAAAGCAATTAAACTTCAGCAAAAAGCTTAGAGTAAACAAACAGATCAAGTTTTATCATGTGACCTCAAACCAGTGATGAAAAATTATTTTTTCATTTACATTTTATTATCTAACCTAATAAGTATCTAATTTTTACATATTAGTTAGTTTGTTAAATATATATAATAATAAATAAAAAATACATAAAAAAACAGGAAACTTAACCCTTCTAATACGAGTGGGTGGATTCCACCCAGTCTATATTCCCTAAAGCATCCATAAAGCAGTTATACTGTAACTTATTAAAATGTACACGCATCTTCACAAAATTTTGCAATTACCAGTACACATTACAAGTACACAAAGTATCAGATTTTTATTAAATTTAATTAATCATTTGCTTGTGCATTTTTTATTTTTGAATGTTGACTATCCAATATGTGAAGTAATTTTGATTTGTAGATAAAAAAAATACTTCTATGCATTAGAAAATTGTCAAATTTCACATTCAAAATCTCTATAACCCCCTAATATCCTTCAGATAATTATCAAAGGTTTTTAAAAAAAACAAAAAACTATATGTTATCTGTTATGTTCACTATTGTATCTGTATTGGTTTGGTCCATTTGACTGACCTTGTAACCACCATAAAAATAGGAAATATATATAAATTATCTTTTTATCATTCTATAATTACAAAATTATACCACAAAACTACAAATGTTTAGTCTACATAGCTTAAACCTCACAACATTTTACATATATAAAAATTTATTATTTTTATTTTATTGACCTTTTCTTAGTGCCTGACTAGCATTATAGAAGTTAAGTGACAAGGCACTTGTGCATTCATGTTGCCGTTTCTAATAATATAAAACTGGCTTTTACAAAGTGACCTGTCTTCGATGTGTTCTAGTGGACCAGTATTTTTTAAATACAGTCACATTTCAGTTATAATACATTATATATATATATATATATATATATATATATATATTCATCATAACTATTTATAAACGTAGAACAGTAAATGAAGTGTAGCAAACAATTATCTGTTCTAGTTACGAACTTTGTATTCGTTTGTTGCTTGCTATAAGTTGCTAAGCCTTATCAAATTTTGCATGTGGAGGATGTAAAATAATTTTTTTAGGTTGTATATATGCATTTTAAAGTAACACAAA